CACTTGTCAACTGGATGTGGGAGGAAAGCCCGAAGTTATGCAGGTCTCAGACGTTTACCACTTCGGTGAAACCCACGAGGACGGGTATGGTGCTGACAAACCAAGAAACATATTCAGAGCAAATTTGCAATGAACCCAAGATATTACTCATAGGTTTCTGGCGTGCCTCAGGGACTTGTTTGTTGGTTTCACTCATGAGAGGACACATGATGACATCAGCGCTCGAGATAAGCAGAGTATTTGCGTAAACTACGCATTAAATAAACTGAAATACGCAGACAAATCAAATACTTGTGTATCAAATATGCAAAAACCCTTTAAGTACGCTATTGAAATAAAATTAATGCGTATATTAGATAAAACAATTGTGTATGTTACAACTTATAGATAAAATGATTGTGTATCAGCCAATCACCAAATTCACTTACCAACAGTTACATTCGGAAAAGCTTCAGCGTCAAACATACGGATAGATGCCAATTGAAAAGCACATCGTGCCTAGTCAATGTACATGTTGTATCTTAATTAGTTGCTGATTGGTAATTAAAACAATAACGCCTTTCTTACAATGATAGATTGTGTAAACAAAAAATGGCTTCCCAGAGAGGGAGACGCAAGCAGACGCAGACAAGTATACATACTACTTAGGACTGGTACGGGTAACTTGGGTACTCGGGTCAGGTGGGTACTGAGTAGGACCCAGGTACCCACAGGACAACCCAGACCCATTGTTAGTCACAGTGATTATATCATTTAATGGCAAAAATTATCTAGAACTCTATGGCTACACTATAAGTGACAAATGATCACATTTCTTTCCGACAATGCACCCATTCCTTCTGACTTTATATGTTTGCATAAAGATAATACTTCAGTCAACTTCAGTGTATGCATGACCAAATCATTTTATACGTGTATCTCAATACATTTTGACAGGAATACGGTCAAACATTTCCCAATCGGACATTTTGTACCTATCTCTTGAGAACAACAGCGGGTAGCCTGGTAGGGTCGGGTAATAGGGGGGTGGGTACCCGGGTAGTAAATTTGGACTTGTCCCAGCTCTAAAACTACTATTCACATAGTTTTAGAGGATTTACAGGTATTGTTACAAAACAGGTTTAAAGTTAAATATCCAAATGTAGGTAAAATATTTGATTACCCTCTAAAACTTGTGAATACCAAATCAAAATCATCAAACCCTGCATAAAATACCCAATTAACCAAAAGCTTATCTATATCTCTGTGACATAACTGAAATACAGTACAGTTACTTAAAGCGGCATTAAGCTGAAACTTACCTCCTATTCTGCTGAATATTTGTTGACTGTGAACACTGATGACATATTGCCTAATCTTGTGATTAGCAGTGACACACCGTATTTGCTACAATAAGCACCCTGAGTGCTTAGAAACATGACAAAGAGATGCTTTTAAATAAAGCCTTACATAAATTCAATTTCTTTTCAATGATAGAGCGGTATAAACAAACTTGGTTCAAACCAAAACATTTTTGATGATATTCACTTGGCAATAATACACCCCTGCGTTTTCTGTAACAAATGTGGAAGAAAATATATGGGTCGCTTATTGGTAGCAGGGTGCTTAATGGAGGGAATATGGTAACGATAATAACCAGTATATGTACTGTAGTCAACACTGACGTTGTTATCAAGGTTAAGCCAGCTTACCCAAGTTAACTGATTAACTTGGAGCCTGAGGACAAATAGGCTTACAGTGATCCCACTGTTTATGAGAATTTGTGTTACTCCTTCAGCCATCTTAACCATCAGACACAAAATATTCACATCATGGTCTATTATGGCATTATTCATGATAGGCCTCGCTACCTTATAATATTGCCTCTTTTTTATATTCAAATAGGGCGGTGGGGTAGCCTAGTGGTTAAAGCGTTCGCTCGTCACACCGAAGACCTGGGCTCAAATCCCCACCTGGGTGCAATGTGTGAAGCCCATTTCAGGGCCCACTTGCACAAAACGACCTTAGCGCTTAGACTATTGTAAGCCTATGTTAAAGTATGGGAGTTAAGATCATCTTAGCGTTAAGATCGCTTTGTGCAAGTGGGCCCTGGTGTCCCCTGACGTAATATTGCTGGAATATTGCTAAAAGTGGCATAAAACCATTCTCACTCACTGACTTATATTCAAGTACATTCTTTTCATTTTCATATACATACATAAGATTCATAATAAATCATTTCATTTTTTGAGCGTACAGGGATTTATCAACACCTTCTCAGAGGCTGTTGTTCAGTCCCAAATCTGCAGTCCCAAAGAGCAACGCATAAAAGTTGAAACCCTTAGTGAAGTGAAATGAAAGTTTCTAATGTCATATTGTAGACGCGCAAAAAAGATTTGGAAGGCGGGTTTTGTAAAGATGACCACGAGAACTTGTTAGCAAAAAAGAACTTGTTAGCCAAAATGATCCCAAAACAGCTGATTCACAGTCCACTGGCAGTTTTTCAAGCTTGCATGTAACCCTCTTTAGATAGGGCAGTCAGTGCCCAAAACATGACAATCTACTAGCCTTAACCTGTCACTTAACGTCATTTTCAATAGATCATAGTGTTAATGTACAATTTATGGACTTATGGACTAAAGCTTACTAGACCGGAAGAAATTTTACTAGACCCAGACTTCGGACTAGCTGCTAAAGTCACATGCTGCATAGGGTTATTGTTTTGTTGAGATATTTTGTATCGTCATGTGATGTGATAAAGGTCTTTATCATATCTCCATGTCTGAATGATGAGATTTCATTGGTCCGCTTGATCTTGATAAAATACTGTGTAAGCCCCCTAGGAGGGTAATAAATTTCTCAGTGAGGGAATAAATCTCTTATACCCCGCCATGGGCACTACAGGCTGCATGTGGATTTCTGATGGGCTGAATAATTCCCTTATACCCCGCCTCAAAGTAAAAAGCCACACGCTTTTTCGAGTCAATGGAAGTCACATGACATAGCCGAGTTGACCTTACCTTAATCGAACAGCTGTTTTCTATCAATTTTTAATTTGTGTTAATTCTTTTACAATGTCACCTAAAAACATATCTGGAAAATAAATTTGTTTAAGCAGGATCACTCGAGGTACATATGGTTTTATGTGTCCCGCATTAGGTTTTATACCACGAGCTGGAGGCTACAAGTTATAATATATATCGTGTATATCAAAGGCCATGTATCGCTGCATATCAGAGTTTCAGTGCGTAAATTTACCCTTAGCTGGAATATTGCCATAGTTAACACACAACTCAAAGGTTTTGGCTGAAAATGTAAAAAATATTTTGAGGGAGGGAAATTCTGAGGGCTTTTCCCGAGATCGAGGTTTTACTTACATATAGTCTGCAGACACTCCAGATCTATGCATAAAATTATTTAAAATGTAATATTAGAAAGAGTGATTTTGTAGCTTTTTTTTAATGTCATTGTGGTTTTTTTCTCTTCAACATTTTACAAAATACACGTGTAGTGACAATAGATTTGAAAACAATTTCCATTCATCATAAAACCACGGACTTGTATATAGGTCTGTGATGAAACAAACTTCATCAGAAGATGGTGGTCCGAATGTCCATACGTCCATCCTTTCTCTCAGTCATAGTCCTCTGCTGCTGGAACTAGTTTGTTTGGTGTTTATTTGTTTTTTTATGCCAGACTCAGCAACATTCCAGCTATATGTGCTGCAGGGGTCCGGAAACGGTCATATGCGCCGGACATGTCCGATTGGGAATCTCAAATGTCCTGTTTGAAATATTGCGTACCGGACATTTAAATTTTTCTGTCCGGACATTTTAAAAAACAAACGGGGTCCAAATAATTGATGAGAGTTATCAGATTTATTGACTGGTATTTCAGGTATAACGTGATCGCGGTGATCAGCTGATAATGTTTTCTGAGATTGGGCAAAACATCGTGTCATTGGAAAACTTTTGTTAAAAATGTTAGTAAATTTTGGGAGCCATGCTTTACCTCACGCTATAACCGAGTTAGCGCTATATTGAAGCGCGCTATAACGAGGGAACACTGAAAGTAACAACTTGTAATATGTGTGAGAAGTCGTACTAAAATACGCTATTTGATGGGGGCATGGCCTAAATGGAAATGTCTGATTGGGATTTTAAATTTCCCGTAACCCTGGTGTGCAGTATGACCTCTTTAATATGTTTAGGAACCTATCAACCTAGTCATTCTTATATATGAAGTATTTAGTAATTTAACTAAGACAAAATTGTTATGGATGAGCAACTTCTTTATTACAATTGGGCGACGTTTCGGTGTAGATTCTAACACCGTTATCAAGCAAATGATGTACAAACTAGGTATGAGCATGATATATATACATAACAATAGATAGATGTTTATATAACAGAAAAGGTTGATGTACACTGATTGATAGGTAGTTATGATAAATAAGTTTATACAAGAGATAGGGTTGATGTACAGTGATTGATGGGTATGGGATTAACACACGGATTACAAGGAATGTAAATGCCACTCAAAGAAGTTATTTAGTAATTTGACAAATTAAAAAGTAGGATATGGCTGTCTCAAACATTTACTGTAAGTATTTCAAATACTTGTTATTTGTTAAATATGTATCATTAGTAAGTGTAATCTTAATAGTGTGAGCACCTTTGTAAAGAACTGAATTAGAACAGGTCTTCAGGTCCCATTCTCGTAAGAGGTGACAATGCTTTCCCGTGAGAGGCGACCAATGGGAAAGGCTGGTGAAGCTCGCTGACTTGGTTGATGGATGTCATCATATATTTGAGTAGATTGATGCTCATGATTGCAATCATCGGATTGTCAGGTACAGACTCTACTATATATAGGCCATCGTCATTTTATGCATATAGCTGCAATATTGGGAAGTTTGATTATTGTATGTAGACATTAGACTCTAACATTTCTTTGTGAAATATATGCAGTGCTTATATGATGTTTTTTTCGGTTTTAATGATGTTTTTTTCATGTTTCAGCCGAACCAGTTCCAGAAAACATGGAGATAAGTGGAAGTAGAGTTGTTATCATTGAGGTAGCTGATAGAATCTGTACGTCTGGACTTCGAGGGACAAGATGAAGATTTTACAGACACTTCCGTTAGTTAGTGAAAGTAGCCGGTGTAAGCCACCAAGAATTGTATTATAATATTATTAAGCTTATTCAGATATCATATGCAGTGTTCATATTTTCTAGATTAATGGAGTTGTTTCTAAAACAATTATTAGATATGGGCTAAAGATATTTATCATATTCAGACCTAAATAAATAATAAATAATATCCACAACTGGTTCCTTGGGAATTTGGTACTTATTCATGTTTTGTTTTATTTTGGGGGCAAATGGCGTTATAATGATTATAAATTTGTTGAAAAGTAATGTTGTTTATATGATACAGCGCTTTGGTATTGTAGGCATTAAAATTGTGGGTTGTTGGTTTTAAAGCATATAACGAGAGGAAAATTATCAATAGTAGATGTGACAGGATGTTTAATGGGGTTTAGCATTAAGATTGTTAAATCATATGCACTTATATCACAACGTGCATGCACTTGTATGTGTGTGTGGGGCTGCTTGTGCCAGTCCATTATAGACCATGCCACAGTTTAACATGAATACCCTACTCAGACACAGTATACTGACTCCGAGCCGACCAGTCCTTGTTTAAGCCCCTTAATGCCAAGCAACAGCCAGGGTAACAACAAGTACCATCTTTTAATGTCTCTTTTTATGACACAGCTGGACCAGGAGGTGGCCTGGTTGGAGATTTGAACACAGTGCATGCCTTACATAGTTTTCATAATGTTAATAGTAGTTAGAATGTTTTGTGGAATGTATAATTACATGTAGTTTTTGTAGTAAATGTTCAACTTGAATACTCCAAGTAGATGTCAGTATGACTTACAATAACAACTACCGTATTCGATGTAATAAGCGCCCCGCTCTAATAAGCGCACGCCGAAGACCCGGGTTTGATTCCCGACATGGGTACAATGTGTGAAGCCCATTTCTGGTGTCCCCCGACGTGATATTGCTGGAATATTGCTAAAAGCGGCGTAAAACCATACTCACTCACTCACTCTAATAAGCGCCCACGGCTATAATTGCTAATATATTGGTAAGGGAATTCTGGAAAAATATATCTGTCGTATATAAAAATTTCAGACTGTCAGCATAAACCGCGAAATTTATCTTTCAACTGTTTTTTCCACCAAAATAATATTCTAATAAGAGAACCCTATTTCTAATTTTGAGAGCACCCTGTGTGCTTATTACGTTGAAGACGGTAATTTACTAACCATGCTAACTAGATATCAGGTAGTTTTTAATGTACAATACTATGTAAGATATGTTTGATAATCTTGTTTTTAACTCACCTTGTTGGTTGATATATCATTGTTATATACAATATGACCCCATGTGCACTTATGCCAATTGTAATGTTTTGATTTTTTGTAGTTTTTGACGTGTCTTTAATGAATGTGCAATGAATTATTGGAACCTGAATAAGCTTAGTCTCATGTCTGACAATAACAAAGTGACTGGTACCATTCATGTTGTAATGGGAGTTAAATGTGTCTTTTAATTCTCTCACCTGACCTCTGACTATTAATACTAGGGGGCATGGGTGGCCGAATCAGTGTTGCTATTTGCTATGCAGAGTTGCCTCCCTTAGCCATGCCAGAATCTGCTGATCCTCAATTCCAATCCCAGACACCTTGGTTAAAAATACACAGTCGCTAATACATTTGTTGTTTCCTCAAGGTGAAGTTTGTAACTTGTGTCAATCTGGGCTTTTTGTCCACATTAAGCTGACATGTATTTAAATCACAGAATTTATGTGCAGGGCAGTGTGAATCAAAGTTACTCTCTTTATATTGGTGCAGGTTTAGTTGAAACTGTTTCAAGCAGACTAGCCAGAGCTACAGAAAAACTGCGCATTTACGTAAAATACCCCTCAAACTATTCAAAACCAAATTACTTTCAATTACCTTGCGTACAGAAACCCATGCATTGAATGGAAAACACAATTGTTTGAAAACAGCAAGCGTAAATACCCAATGAAGTTTTTTCAGCATGCGTACAACAGAGCTAATTTCCCAAACACAATTACAAGCTAATTTACTTTCCGAGTCAAGCCAATATTTAGGACCGTTATATACATCTAAATCATTATTTCATTTTTTTAAATCTCTAAATGCTTACTCATTTTGAGAAAAACCCAATAGAGTGATGAAAAGATGAGTGAAAAAATATTGGTTACCCAATGAAAAATGAAAAAAACAAATTAAAATGGAAACCTTCGAGTGAAAACTCAATTGCTCAAAAAGTTATCTGGAGCTCTGCTAGCCTTGTGATGGAAAGACCAATGTTATCCTGTTATCATGATTATTGTTATGAATGATCACCAAACACCAATGAGCTATGACCTTATTGTCAATTAATGACATTTCATATAATGTTGATACTTTTTGAAGATTTCGTTCAATTTTAGATTTCATTGCTTCATTTATCTCAGTAGTACAAAAGAGGAAATAGAATAGAAATGAAAGCCTTTATTCACAATGATCATTGAACATGTTTATGAACAGTAAGAAACACTCTTTCAAAATACCAAACAGAATCTTTCTACTTTTTTTTGTCAGGATGGAAAGCACCCGTGATTCTATTACATCCTTATGCTTCAAACATGATGAGATTCTTTTAGAGTTATTAAACCTGAGTCTTTTTGCCATGTCCTAGTGCAGTTTTTTGAATGTAGACCTTCACTGATTGATATTTTATTTCAGCTTGTTCTGAGATTATTTTTGCATGATATGAAAAGACTTCACAGATATATGTTAATAACATAGTTTGTTCTTTATATGTATCTCCTTAATGTTTTTTGCTATGTTGTGTTTTTGCTTTGCTATTTTTGTTGATTTTACCTATTTTGCCATGTTTGCTACGTTCTCGATTATATACAATTCTATTTTTGATACTACCCTTGACTGAATCGCTACCTAAGCCTCGTATCAGAAGTGACATGAACATCTCCTATCTTATCACGAGCTTGTCCCAGGATTCCTCTTGGTCATCAGTGTAATTTGATTGGATGGCTATTTTTAGCGGCATGACATTCAAATCAGCCTCAAAATGAAGCTGCGGTGGTTAATAAGTCCAGGGTGTCTTTTCCAACTCTTTTCAAACCTTGTCTTGAAATTATGGAATCAAGTTCATCCATGTGACTTTCCATTATCAATTAAGAGCTGAAATGTCTTTAGGTAGCAGAGATGATCTAAGATGAGAAAATATACTTAATTTCTACCCCCACTTCTTTTGGATGGAGATCCAAATTGCTGATTTAATATAAATAATTTTGTCATATTACATTCAATCTATTCTCTTAATTTTATTGGATTGTATTTTTTGTTCTGTTCATTATATGTTTTACATTTTGTTGCTGATGAATTCCATTTCTGGTTCAATCTCCTCGTTTATTCAAATTATTTAGAAAAACAACCTGTTTTGTGTTTCTAGGAAAGGTAACCCTAGTGCACTTGACACTGTACCATGTTCTGTTTGAAGTGTTGAGGGGCCATTGGGTAGCCCAGTGGTATAAGATGCTGTGACTGATTGAATCTGAAATTCTTTCTGGGGGATCAACCATTTAATATTTGGGAGGGATGTTTAATAGAGACTTGATATTTTTTCAGCTACAGCTGCAAAACCAGAAATATTTTTTTGATTAAAATTATTAGCCAAAATAATCTTTTTTAAAAAGCATTTGCAACAATGTATTTTTTATTGCAGGCAATTTGCCTTTTTTTCATCAGCCTGAAGCATGATTAATTTTTTCAAGCTTTTTCTGGGGTAATATTTTGGGGGATAAAATTCCAGCCCCCCCTCCCCGAACATCAAATCAGTCCCTAATTATGGTACATGGTTTGTCAGTACCATGGTCAATGCTTTTCCCAAACGAGTGGTTTGTCAGCCAATAAGTTGAAACTGAAGTCAATTGGTGGTAAAAAAGAATTCATCTTCCCGAGGCAAGAGAGTTAACTGACTATAAAAGTCCAGTTCCACCCTTGCCAAACTAGGCTGTTATTATGGAGTTACATTTTGGCTGGACTAACGAGTCTATGCATAGTCCAATCATGATGGGAGATGAAAAAAGTTATGCTTCATCTGTTTTATACTTGTTTACAAGTTCTGTCTCGAAAATTTAGTGGATTAGTAAAGTGATAATACCAATGATTATATGTTATGTACTTATTTGAAGTTGGATAACAGCAACTTACTGTCAATGCTTGTGAGGATGTGTTATGTGTGTAATCTGAAAATATGCAGTGAATACAATTTCCATCTGCAGTTACGATGTTTTACCAACTTATCTCATATCTCATATGACCCATCTTTTTCAAGTTTCTGAATACTCAAGACATTATTCTTTATACATGTTGTATGCAAAACTATAGAACACCCAACCATCCTTTTTTTCATATTTACATGATGTTGATATGTTTTGCAATTATTCAAATAAAAATGACCGTTCATGGTGAATATAGTACTACATGTATATTCATTGGTGGGTGTGAAAAAGTTTTTCCCGAAAGTGAAAAGTATTGAAAGAAATAACATGAAGCACATTGTTATTTTAGATTCTAGATAATTCATACTTATCATCTTAGTCAAGGTAATGAGTCATTACTATTCATGTTTACTTATCAGACCGTTGTTTTGAGTGGAGCAACTATTTGGCTGATTAAACAGTGACACCAAAATGGCAATCAAGTGGCATCTTCATTAGTATCTAGTGACCATCATCATCTGTAGCAAGCCTACACCATTCTGTCTGTACATAATTTAAAATCATGGTGATGTTTCAATATTTGCAACATGTTGGTTGGTGTATGATAACTATCAGTATATAAACACTTGGGTAATCACTGAAACCATGTGATCTGATTTGTAATTTATTGTAAGATTAGGTAGATATTACGCATGATCATAAGAGAAGTAATTGTTTAAAAGTGGGATGCTCCTTTGGTAATTCTGGGCAAAAAAATGTAAACTTGGTTACTATAAATCTTGAAATTAACGCGAGCTTGAATTAAATGCGTGTGGTCTTTGCTTGCATTAACTGAACTTCGCATTTATGTCGCCAACATGACTATCAACAATAAGAGGGGCTCACGGCACATTTTGGATAGCAGAAATACCAACTTGAATATAAACACAAACAACCGTATATTCCACATCATGTTTAATGAGCAGCAGTGTAGCAAGTATATAAAGTCGTCATTCAAACATCCCAACGCACACTGATAGGCTTCATCACACTTATCCTCAGATCTACAGCATGTCTTGTCGGCTGCCTTCAAGTTGACACCTTCTCCGCATACCAATCAGTGAACTGTTGATGAACTTACTTAATGCCAGTCAACAGAATAAACATATAAACTGTTGTTTTTAGGAAAACAGGGGGCGAAGTTCTTTTGAAATGGAATGATGACTTGTCAGTAACTATTACTGTTACATTATAGTGAAAGGGTATGCCCTTAGTACTCTTAAAGATGAAGAGGACAAAAGGAATCCTTGCAACAGTGTCCTAAAACTAGCAGGACAAGACATGTTACATGCGATGAGGGTGAAGTTGGTTCTCTTTGAGTTGTTCCAAATGGTCTCATGGCAATGTAATCCCTCCTTTGGTCATGCTTGCTGTAAAAGGCGACAGTGCTTGTCGTAAGAGGCGACTAACGTGATCGGGTGGTCAGGCTTGCTGACTTGGTTGATGCATGTCATCGATCCAAATTGCGTGGATCAATGCTTATGATGTCAATCACTGGATTGTGTGGTCCAGACTCGATTATTTACAGACCGCCGTCATATAACTGGAAGATTGTTGAGTGCGGCGTTAAACAACAAATAAACAAACAAACATGATCTTAAGTCATATAGCTCATAGTTATGATATGTTCCCTCTTGCCTTTGGCGCTAAGACATGGAGAAAGTTTTGATCATAGAACTGATACTACCCAAAAAGGTTTGTCGGCTTTGTAACTTGTAGTGTAGACGTTTTTCAATGTATGCTGATGGAGAATATGGTGATATGTGTACAGCCCAGCTCATTCCTTGCTTTGTAACATATTCCTGATATTTTTCAACTTTTTAAAATCCAAAATTATCATTTCCATTTGCTCAAACACATTTTAATGTTTGTTGATGGGAATGTTTTGACATGATGTCTTTCAGTCATATGATATAAGCATCACAGATACATGACATAGTCATCACAACTGTGCTTGTATTTGATAAGCAGAGTTAAGATTGCTGACTTGGTTGATGCATGTCATCGTATTCCAATTGCGTTGATCGGTGCTCATGATGTCAATTACTGGATTGTCTGGTCCAGACTCGATTATTTACAGACTGCCGTCATACAGCTCGAATATTGCTGAGTGCGGCATTAAACCACAAACAAACAGTAACATACCTGAGCTCGTTGGTTACACCAAAGTTGTCTGCCACCTGGGTGACACTGGGACGGGGTGGTAAGACTAATATGCTGTAACTGCCCAGTTCACTCACTGGCAGCACTGAGTCTTTGTGTGGAGCAGACTTTGTACTACATGCTATTCTTCCCTGCATGCATGTTTGTAAAACTTGTCACTGGTGGTTCTGTATGCTGTGTAAATCAACATCTGCTTATCTGCCTCAAGCTTGCATAGCGCACTTGCAGTCTTAAGCTTGATCAGTGCACTTGCATCCTTATGCTTGCTCAGTGCACATGCAGCCTTATTGGAGATGGATTTCATAAGCAGCTGAAAGCTGTCCTCTACTTGAGTATAGTTACCACTCAGGTCAGCGTTTCATTTTCATTAAGTGTCTTATATACAAGGAGTTCCGTTGCCTTCACCATGTTGACATGTTTGCTTTAGGAATCCAGTGATGGGAATAAATATGACAAAGGAGTATTATTATGGATAGAAATTTCATTTTCATGATTCTGGTGATAGTGTAAATGTGGCAGTCTTTTCATAGATGTACTCCTCTATCTGGTACCATCATGTCTTTTGCGAGACTACAGTGAAACCAAGGTGAGGTAGACAGTTCTATCCCGAGTAAAATCGCCTGGAATAACAAAGTTCATGATCCTGATTAACAAACTTAAGAATCATATTGATCAGTCTGAATATGCTTTGTTATCAGTGTGATTGATGTACCCAGACTATGCAAGGGGATTTAAGTGTTTGTTGACAGTTGTTGGTGACATGTCCTGAGAGTAATGTGTCTCAAGTTACTTGTTTTGACAAAACCTGTAGATCCTGTTACATATAGCTGTAATATTACCAGTAGCAATTTGTGTATACCCACATAACACAATAGAAGTGATTGTTCCACACTTGTTTTAACATGTTTAAGGTATAATAAAGCTTTTAAGTTAACAAATGTTGAGTCTTTATTGATACTTCAAAATGAATTTGCTCAACTGGTCTTTATTAACATGGCTTACATAATCATCAGGGTTGAAAGCTGATTATGAAACTTGAACAATATGGAGAGATTTGAACCAAGTTGAATTTATAGCCATGTCATATGTAAACATAGTTCGAGTTTGATAATCAGCCATGTTGGTTTATATTCAAAGGTGAGTATAAAACTTGGACTGAAATTGAGAGATGAAATATTGTCATGGATTTCAAATAAATGTGGTTGTTGAACAGTCCCCATTAAAGACTATTGGCCATTTATTATGAGTGAGTGAGTGAGTATGGTTTTACTGTTTTTAATAAAATCCCAACAGTATTACAGACACCAGAAACGGGCTTCACACATTGTACCCATGTTGGGTATCGAACCCTCGTTTTTGGCATGACGAGCAAACACTTTAACCACTAGGCCACCTAGTTGAACATGATATCTTAAACAGATATTGCAGTATTCTGAAGCAAAGTTAGTGAGTGAGTGGGGTTTAACACCGCTTTCTTCAGTATTTCAGTTATGTCACATGTGTCAGCTGAATGTGGGATGATGATGCAGGTCTCAGATGCAGGTCTCAGACGTTTACAACTTTGACAAAACCCACCAGCATGGGTATGGTGCTGACGAACTTGGAACCGGGACTCGAACCCACAATCATAGGTTTCTGGCATGCCCAAGGGAGGCAACTCTGCACAGCAATCGCTGCGCCATGGACGACTTGCCCACCGATGCTCCCCAAGCAAAGTCAGGGTATGGTGTCAGGGGTGTATTGCCCTGTGGAGAATCTGGTACAAAGCCAGACAGCAGTAACCAGGCAGGCCACTGTGTTACATCCGGAATATAGCTGATGGTTGCATTAAACAAACAAACAATAAAATCAATGCATTACCAATATTTTCAGTCAGATGTTCTTGTGATGATTAATGAATTTCAAAAATTGATTGGCTATGCTGTACCTTTTCAAAGATGGATTCTAAGAATCATAGAGAAAAGTATAATATATTTAAACATTCCTTTTTATCTGTAAATAATTCCATGCACACATAAACAAATTCACCATTAATATGCAACCAATCCAGTAATTCTTATTCCAAGTCATGTCAGAAACAGGTTTTCATAAAATCAGTGATGGATTTATTGGAAGGAACTGATTATGATCACTGCTTAAAGAAACAATTCCATCCTAGTAAGGCCATTTGAAAACGAGAAACTTATGTTAAACCGAGAATGCTTATGGTAAGTTTGCTAACAAAACATGGACAAATTTGAGTCTTCTGGCGCTTTGAAGTTCACCTTAACAAAAATAATGTGTATGTTCTGTTAGAGCGACTATTCCAGAACACACAGTTAAGTAATAGATCCTCCTGTCGTTTACAGGTCTGTGATCGTAATTTAAAAAGAGAACTGGTGGCCAAGTCATCAAATATTCTGTATATTCGCTGTGCGGTGTTGCAACCCCTAACAAGTGCCAGAAAGTTATGATGGTGGGTTTCGAACCCCTTTTTTTATTGTTGTTTAACCCCGCACTCAGCAATATTCCAGCTATATGACTGCGATCTGCAAGAAATCGAGTCTGGACCAGACAATCCAGTGGCTGACATCATGAGCATCGATCCACGTTATTGGGATACGATCGAACCCCATGTTTCCCTACTGATGTTTCTAGGTTTGTCGGCACCATGCACAAGCTGGTGTGTCACCATGACGGGGCAGTCTAGTACCTGCATCACTTCAGGACTTCCTCCCACATCAAGTGGAAACATGAAATAACTTGAATACTGTTCAATGCAGTGTTAAACCAAACTTGACTCCCACCCTCATATTTTCCGGTTTGGGTATAACCAGAGATACAAACTATACAAACTATTTAGACTCCCTGGTACAACCTATTGTCATGTTATTTTGACGACCCCATCCCTTTTAGTCTTTCATCACCAACTGTCATGCCCTATATCAAGATTCAAGATGTTTATTGTATTCAAGGCCATATGACCATATTGCATTAAAATGGACCCGTGAAGATCCGGGGTAGTAAAAGGTCTTCAGCAACCCACTCTCGCTGTAAAAGGCGACTATGCTTGTGGTAGGAGGCGACTAACGGATCGTGTAGTCAGGCTTGCTGACTTGGTTGATGCATGTCATCGCATCCAAGTTGCGTGGATCGATGCTCCTGATGTCAGTCACTGGATTGTCTTGTTCAAGCTCGTTTATTTACAGACCGCCGATCGCTGGTATATTGCTGAGTGCGGGTTAAACAACAAACAAACATTAAGCATTATGTGTTCTGGGGTAATGTCTAAAAGATAATAGTGTTTTAACTTTGATCTTGGAAAACTAGGTGATATCCAAAATATATTTCGATTGATATATCTAGGGTATTTGGGACATTTTAAAAATCGAAATAGCTAATTCCATCTGGAAATGCAAAGGGATAAAAACTACTTTTTCATTTAAAACGTATTATTAAACATAGAACTCTACTACATGTACTGCATTCGTGGGATTTGTATTCCATAGAGAAATACGTGGACGTGTTGTCTCACAAGCACCGTAGTGAGTGACTAGGGTTTAACACTTCCTTTATTACTGCCCAAACCATATCACCGCGAGGGACACCAGTACTGCGCTTACACAATGCAGCCATGAATCAAACCCGGTCATTTAACGTGAAGAGCCAACACGTTAACCACTAGGCTACCCTATCGCTCCATATTTTATGTTACTAGCAATGAGTACTGCTTAAACATAGCCTAGGTTTAACACACACACACCCCTCCTACATGTGACACGTACACTGTTATGCACCATTCTTTACTTGAACCTCGCCACCAAGTATCACATATCACTATTCAAACATAATCCATTTTAAAATCTAACACCCTCTGAGTGTAACGGCTGCAAACGACTTTGCGGTCAATGTAACCCAGCTGTTTATCAGAGCTGCAGTCGTGTTCTATTTTTACCGTCTCCATGTATGAAAACCTATTATAACTTTTCGAGCAACTACTTGGAAAAGCCGCCGTTTTCCAAGTACAGGGGTATCACACAAAAGACGGCCATGTTCATGTGGTCTGGTAGAACACAAGTAGGGATCCTTAGACACTCCACAGCTTACTGATTGTTACGAGACGTTTCCCGAAGAACAACATTTACTCCGAGGTGAGTCGACCTACATTGGTGTTCAAACCATAAAACTAAAGCCTGTGATTATTTAGAGACCGCTGTCATGTAGCTGGAATATTGGCGAGAAGGGCGTTAAACAACACATAAATATTCTAGCTATATGACGGCGGTCTGTTAAATAATCGAGTCTGGACCAGAAAATCCAGTGATTGACATCATGAGCATCGATCCATGCAATTGGGATCGATGACATGTATCAACCAAGTCAGCGAGCCTGACCACCCGATCCCGTTAGTCGCCTCTTACGACAAGCATAGTCGCCTTTTACGGCAAGTATGGGTTGCTGAAGACCTATTCTACCCCGGAATCTTCACGGGTCTCCAGTGATTGACATCATGAGCATTGATCTACGCAATTGGGACACGATGACATGCGTATTTCAACCAAGTCAGCGAGCCTGACCACCCGATCCCGTCAGTCACCTAGCTCTTACCACAAGCATTATCGCCTCTTTCGGCAAGAACGGGTTGCTGAAGACCTATTCTCTACCCGGATCTTCACGGGTCTAGTCATATGAGGGGCGGTGGGGTAGCCTAGTGGTTAAAGCTTTTGCTCGTCACGCTGAAGACTCGGGTTCGATTCCCCTCATTGGCACAATGTGTGAAGCAAATTTCTCGTGTCCCCCGCCGCGATATTGCAAAAAATATTGCTGAAAGCGGCTCACTCACTCACTATAGTCATATAAAAGGATCGGATGTCCTTTAACTTGTTTTCAGTAGTATTGTTTGGTGAATGTATGTGTAATGATATGTATATTACAAAAATACATATTTATACACGAAAATAATAAAAGCGTGGAGAAATAACAAGAGGACAAAGTAACCGATATCCTGCGCAATGGTAAACAGTTGTCATGAATACGTAAACTTAGATTTACAGTAAGCTCTCAACACGGGATTAAATCATTTATAAAGCATATTAAAACCCGGCAGGGATGTGAAATCTCCGCGGAAACGCGGAAAATCGCGTTTTCTAAAACAGTAGTCCTCGGAACAAATCATCTTCCGCGTAAAAAATTAATCAAAAATTAAAAAAACAACTCCGAAAAATATGATCGAAACCCGGACAACCGTCGCTGATTGTCCTGTTTTCGATCAGAGCTTTCACCAGCATAGGTTTTCGGACATCATACGTTTTCTATCACGAATACTTGCACTGTAACGTGGGGTGTGGCGTCACACAGAAATTGTAAATACTCTCAGTCAGCTGATGGCTTGTTTTTTAGATAAAGTTGTCTTTTAGCCTGTAAGTGAATGAGATGTTTTACAGTTGTTCATGTGATTAGCGAGAAAACTATGAATGTTTCTTCAGCGTCCAAAAACCCATAACATGGGGATATATGTTGTATTAATGTCTTATGCTTGCAATGGAGTTTTGTTTTTTTCATCAAAAGGTAAGTACAAGGTAAATTTTTTTCAATATGCTTCAACATGGGGAAAGGGTCAGACATTGCACGCTTGTGACAGTTGTCCTTGTGTCTGGGGGATGGGGGTTGAAGTTTATGGCAGTATTGCTCCCAGACCTGGCGGGTAGCCAGGTGCGCGAAAGCTTTGCCCGATTTTTTAAAAGTACTGATTTAACTGAGTTATCCCCCTTTGTTTACGTCAGATGCCGACTGTACTCAGTCTCAACCGCAGGTGCATAACTTCTTTTCAACTGACCACAGGAACTTATTGACGAGTCTGATGTCTGGAAATAACATCTATGGCAATGTTAATATAACTCTTGCGCCGGACAAGCTTCGCCAGACATTAGGCACAACTGGCGACAGCAGACGTACCGCCGAGGCGAGAAGCGCCCGCTTGAATTTTCCGAGAATTGAACTTTCCTAATTTAATTCATGACAGCAAGCAACAATGTTTCAGTTACAATGTTCGGGTTTCTATAAATGTGTTTATGTCAACTTTCATACTTATCTGTGAGAAAATTTGATCAAATTTGGCGGATTGTGTAAGCCTGGAGAGCGCTCAGCTGATCGTTCTACATGGTCACAGTACTAACTGTTTATGTATTCCTACGCCAATAAAATAATCGCTGTTTGAAAATGATTTCTGTTTTCATTTTAAAAACAATTTTGACAAACAAAAATGTCCACGGAACTTAATACTCGATATGAAATAATATATTTCGCATAACATATATTAACAGGGCTAGTTTTATTCACGAACTATATTCTCTTCGCAAACCCCCTTTATACGGCCGTGGTAAAGGGGCGACAGGGAGGACTAAGTAATTTATCAGACACTGTTTTTCGAAAAAATATATAAATTGCAAGTAATAAAAATAAAACATGTATATAATAAATAGAAAATTCAATGTGTTTTCACAAATACCACTTTTATCTCATCTCGTGAAGTGGGGAGAGTCTTATATTTTCACTCGTGACAGGGAGGACTTAGTAATTTATCAGACACTGTTTTCGAAAAAATATATAAATTGCAAGTAATAAAAATAAAACGTATATAATAAATAGAAAATTCAATGTGTTTTCACAAATACCACTTTTATCTCATCTCGTGAAGTGGGGAGAGTCTGATATTTTCCCTCGTGAAAATATTAGACTCTCCCCACTTCACTCGATGAGATAAAAGTGGTATTTGTGAAAAAACATTGAATATCCTCTATTTATCAGTGACGATAGATCAAGTTATCAGTCACTAGTGACTGATATAAACAAGGTGCCGGAACTACTTTCTCCTGAATCAAAACATTAAAGAGTTATCCATTTTAAACAGGAATGTTTAATTATGACAAACAAAAATGTCCACGGAACTTAATACTCGATATGAAATAATATATTTCGCATAACATATATTAACAGGGCTAGTTTTATTCACGAACTGTATTCTTTTCGCAAAACCCTTTTTACGGCGGTGGTAAAGGGGCGACAGGCAGAACTTGGTAATTTATCAGACACTGTTTTCGAAAAAATATATAAATTGCAAGTAATAAAAATAAAACATGTATATAATAAATAGAAAATTCAATGTGTTTTCTCAAATATTTGTATTTGAGAAAACACATTAAATATCCTCTATATATCTCCAAAGTTGCCAAAACTTATAAAATGCCTTAGCTACGTCACAGTTAGACACGGATTTTCAGTATATTAGACTGTTCTTTTGATAATGATAGCAAATATTCCTGTAGTTTATCCAGATTCCCGATGGTTAATTCTGACTTGATCGCCGAATGACGAGGGCGACGCCATGTTTGTTTATAAACAGTGAAAGTAGTCCCCACTTGACCTTTGATATTTGCATCTCTATCCGCATATGACCCCAACGGATATCGTTTTTATCCGTTGGCTTTATCCTGCCGAGATACCTACACATTATATGATAAACTGAGTATTTGGTAAGTGAGATCCTAGTATTGATATCAAGGTTTTAAAAGGTTTCCAGTTTGCTCCAAAAGTGTTTAACATATTCACATTCCCAATATACATGTATAAGGTTTTCACCATTTAAATCACAAAAGGAGCAAATATCATTATCAAATAGTTCCATTTTTAATAATTCCTTTTTGGTGTAAATTATTCTATGGATAAACTTAAACTGAAAGTCAATCAATTTAGTATCTTTAGTACATTTTCTGAAGTTTGAATAAACTTCCTTCCATGGAATATCATCGTCAAAAAGAGACTGCCATTTTCCATTTACTAAGGGTGGTTTTGTTATTGTAATTAGTCTATCATAAAAGTACCTCGATCCTTGAACGGGTATAAATATATCCCTCAATTGTGGACTAAGATTTAAGTCATATATTGGTATTTGGATATAATGATTGACAGTGTCTCTCCATTCTTTAGGTATACTAAGTTTAACCTTATTATAACCTAGTATTGTACCCTTTATAACATAACGTACTTTTAATATTTCAAATGGCAGAAATCCATTCTCATTACATGAGTGCTTAATTGTCATTATACCCTTTTCAAACCAATTTTAATTATGTAGTTTTCATGATTAAATTGGTGATTTAGCTATAGTGGCTGTTATAGAATTTCGGAAATCTTTCTGAATCTGTTGTAAATTTTCTGCCATAATTTCACCAAACATTTAAAACATCTCTCCAAAAAGGGTTTTTCACACATAAATATTTATCAGCATAAACTCCTAAATTAATCATATCAGTGAAAGAAAAAACTGAAGGATTATCATATGTACTCTTTTTTAAATATCTTCTTAATGTAGATAATTTTAGTGATTCTATAAATATTTTAATGTCCAAAATTGGAAGCCCACCATCAGCATAATTTTTTTTCAGATTTTGACTTTTAATTTTATCCTGTTTATCATTCCATAAAAATCTAAACACAATTTTATTTAAGTTTGTAATAAAATCTTTTTGGGGGGGGGGGGGGGGGGTTTGGCAGTGCCATAAAAATATGGACAAGAGTTCAGAGAGCCAATGACTTGATAACAGTAATTTTACCTATAAGAGTCAAGTTTCTTCTTCTCCAATTTGCAAATAGCCTATTTATTGTTTCAAGTCTTTTTCGGGTATTGATAACCCATAGATCTTGCAAATTGGGGTTGAGAATAATTCCTAACACTTCAAAATTGCCTACATGCCAGCCTACTTTTAAATCTTCACAAATATTTGTTGAGCTACCTGCTTTCGACCCGATCCATATGGCTTTTGTTTTATCAATTTCTATTTTAAGTCCAGACATTTTGGAGAAACAATCAAGTATATTTATTGCTGCATACAGGCTTTCTGCCTCTCCGTTTAAGAATAATTGTGTGTCATCTTCGTACTGACCTAATTTATACTCTTTATCATTCAATACAATTCCTTTAATATTTTTATTGTCTCTTATCATACAGCCTAAGATTTCTACAGCAAAAAGAAAAAGATATGGCGATATTGGGTCTCCTTGTCTGCATCCTCTTTCATTAATGAAGAAAACATATGACCGTTTTGTATTACATAGGAGGATGCATTATTAGTTAGTAGGTTTATCCATTTTAAGGCCCCAAACCATACTTTTCTAATGCCTTGGAAATATACTGTCTTGATATCAAACGCTTTCTCAAAATCAATCAGAAACAACATTCCTGGTCTATTTAGTCTTTTACATTCAAACATAATGTCATACAAAAGTCTTGTGTTTTCGCTAATACATCTTCCAGGAATAAAGCCGGTTTGATTATCATGAATTAGATTTTAGTTTAAAGTCATTTTCATTCTATTATTGTAAAGTGCATTCAGCAATGATATTGGACGCCAGTTTTTTAGAAATCTTCTGTCTTTGTTTCCCTTGGGTATACAAGTAATGTAAATCTAAATAAAATGGATGTTTATCAATAAAAACCAATTCGTTATACAGTTATTCTTGTGTAAAATGTGCCAGGTGTAGATTGACGCTTAGCATTGTCAAAACATTATTTTTAAAGATAAATTTCTTTTCTATACCAATGAATGTTATGTATTAAAATTGTACTGTCTAGTGCTGGTTGGTTCAGTTAATACTGCCGTGTAAACAGTTATAATAATATGTACTTCATTGATCAATAGAGGGAGTTTAGAGGCAGGCATTAGCTTGTTACATGCCCTTCTTTTGAAAAGAAAACCATCCATCATTATACCATGGAATGTCATATATTACAGAACGACAAACGAAGAATGAAATATAGTTATTTAACAACAAATAAATGAACTTAAACTGACAATATCACACTAAAAATAATTTCTCTTAAAATGTGCTCCTCATCTAACTTAAAACGATTTTTGGTCAAACAATAACCTATCCCAGATTGAGCCATAAAATGACTGAAATAATTGTCGGTGGTGGAATCATAGGCGGGATTCAGGGGGTCCGCCCCTGGTTACTAATACTCGATAATAAACGTGTATCCAATAAAATAGATCTGCTCTGGAAACGACATCTTGCACGGACGGGGTATAATAATGCATTTACTAGCTAGCACTTCAGCTCAAACTAGCCTCTGCTTTTTATTCCAGATAAAACGAACATGGCCGAGAGTCGTACGAAGAAAAAATCTCCACGTCAAAAAGAAAGTGATACAAAAATAGGTACGTGCACTATAATACAAGCGAAGATCTTCTCCATAAAGTAATCTTGATGGTAACCATCCAGTATCAAAGTATTTTGAGGACTTTTTTGAAATATGGTTTTATCCACAAATCAAGATGTATTGGACCTAACAAAGCAGCGTCTGCAGTTTTGTTTCTCTGTATCAAGAATTTACAGCAAATTTTTTCATCCCACCTGTATAGTATCCCTGTTGGGGATCTTTTCTTACATTTGGTATAGTGCCACTTAATGCACACTGATCTTTAGAGTGGGGTCTGAGTTGATTTTGCGTGACCTCTGTATAAGGTCAATATTACCAGAGATGAGGGTGTGAAACAGAAATAGATTTGGAATTTGTATGACATTCAGAGGTCAAGGTCATTAGAGATGAAAAATTCCAATACATTCAAAATTCAGAAAAAAAACTTGGTTTTAATTCATGAGCAAACTAAACATTTTTCTATGCTTGATATTCTTTGAAAACAGTCTCACAATGTCAATGTCATCTCGAATATCAAGGTCATTCATACATTGATAAGAACGATTTTCAATGATTAACTGACAGTTTATAGAGACTTTGTCACCCATGATTGTGTTCTGAGTCATGGGCCTGTCTGTTTTAAAGTTACTCACCGGACTGGATGTGCATATTACACCGTTATTTTGGTAATTAGAGGCATTTGACGTTTTTGTTTCAAATTGTATTATTACATACAAGTGTTTCCTGAAAACTTACGTATTTGATTTGCTGAATTTCACATCTAATGCATTGAGTGTGAACCAAAGGGATCATATTTGAATATGAATGCTGCTGAGGTCAGCTGTACAAATAGCATACGTTTCTGGTGGGATCTGTTTAGGGAATCATTGAACGTTTAAGGCATTCATGAAAAGTAGAGATGGACTGACATGCAAAATGAGTGTAAACACTTTTCTGGTTGTCCACTCATTTGTTAACATATTAACACGTTTGTTTCATCTAACAGATTTTAATACAATCAATATCAGTTTTGTTTGTCGACGAAACGATTTGGCCTATACAAATATATTGAGACTAAATACATTTTGAAGACATTTGTAAACCAATTCAAGAAAGGTAGCACGCGAAATCATTCAATATTAAAAGGGGGCTAAACATAAGCTGTCAGAATAAACTTTTCATGTGAACATGAACTGTCTACCCAGCAGACAACAGTGCAGGTATGCAATATGTATACTGAACTGCAAAAGAAACGTCACCATGGATAGATATATGAGAAACCTTATTTGTCCAAACACTGTAAACATACTTTGAGACATATTAAAAAGATGAAACTTGACAAAACTGATCATCAAGGTTGAAATTAAAGTGTCATATGTTCTTAAAGTGAAACACAACACTAGTCTCTGAGGAAATGGCATCACAAGTCAGTATCTCTTGTGTCCGCCATGTGCATTGATGACTGCCGTGCAACGTCGATACATGGAATGGATGAGGCGGTTGATGGTGGCCATAGGCATTTGAGCCCACACTCTGAGGAACGCCTGACGCAGTTCAGCTGCAGTTGTCGACCTTGGTCGGACGTCATTCAGCCGTCTCTGAATCTCGTCCCACAGGTGCTCAATGGGATTTAAATCGGGACTGAGGCCAGGCCACTGCATGGTTCTGATGCCATTCTGCTGGAGGAAGTCTCTTGTTGCTCTCGCAGTGTGGGCACTGGCGTTATCATGCTGAAAGTGCCAAATGAGGTATGGTGTGTGGTCTCAAGGCTTAATCATGTACCGAGCTGCTGTGACACCATTGCCTCTCCCTAGACCGATGTTCTGGAAGACCACAGGGCCGCCCCTCTGTGCAAGACCAATTCCACACCACACCATGATGCTCGGACCACCCCACGAGTCTCTCTCAACAACACAAGCATCCGAATAACGTTCCCCGCGGCGTCGCCAGACACTCTCTCTGCCATCTGCTGTTGAGATACAGTAACGGCTCTCGTCTGAGAAGAGGACTCTTCTCCACTGCTGGTGGCGCCAGTGCCCACTGAAGACGGTCCCGGCGATGATGTGGTGTCAGAATTGGTCCTCGTTGTGGCCTGTGACAGTGGAGGTGTCTGCTCGTCAATTGTCGACGCACGATGTCTGCACTAATGTGTCGCTGGTGTGTCCCCATGGTTTGTCGAGCAGTTTCCACAGCAGTAACAAAGCGATCTTGAGGATGCTGTCGCACAATCTGACGGTCCTGACGTTGGGTGGTGACCCTTGGTCTACCACTACGTGGTCGGTCATCTGTAGTGTTGGTGGTCTGGCACCGTTGCTGGAGCCTGTATAATGTCCTTACGTGGATTAGAAATCCATTGGCTACTTGCCGGGCGGTATGTCCAGCTTGCAATCGTCCAAGGGCTTGGTGTCGCTGATTTCTTGTCAATCCGGGCATGTGGTAGCAATTCAATAACAAATGAATGTTATCCGATCTGGGTGGATTTTTATAGGGTAAGAAAAGGGGGATCGCATGTTCATTTAAATTTGCACGGAACTCACGTACATCGGGTTACCATGTCCATTGCCGTGATGCCTTTGGGTGATCGGTTTTATTGTCATCTACTTTGTTTTTTTATCATCAAATTTCACGTTCCAGACAAGGGAATGTTAAATTTTGGAAACTTTGACAAAGATTACCCAGATATTTAAATGACAACTTTTCAGGCAATGTTACTTGGGGTGACGTTTCTTTTGCGGTTCAGTATATTTCAACAAACACTAGAAAATATATATTGTCCTGTCGCTGTCTGATATATGTGTTTTATAGAAATGATCATGAAGTGACAAGTATTCCACATAAATTATTTTACTGATCTAAATACTTGCAAAGCTTGTAAACGTTTCTTCAAGTAGTTTTCTCTTTGTGTTGTGTATTACAGAGCAAAGAGGTGAAACTATCAATAACTACATCACGTTGAAGAACCCTGGTATTGTCCAAGTCGGAAGTGGAAATGTAGTTTTCAAAGAAGGAAAATCGTTACTGGACGATACACAAGGTAAGAGAATATTTGTATTATTTAAACGTATGTACACAGATAATCATTACAGTATCACATACTTCAGCTTAGAAATGATGTGTGTTTGTCTGTGGTTTTACGCTGCAGACAGCAATATTCCAGGTTCATCATGCCGGCCTGTGAATATTCAAGTGTATACCTAAGAAATCAGTTATTGGTATTATGAGCAATGTACCAAGGCGTTGAGATACGATGTCAGGCAATGGACCAAGGCACCAAACCCGATCCATTTAGTTGCCTCTAATGACAAGCATATACCTATCGCGGTATCCCACATGACATAGAAATGACAATAGATGGTGATAATATATCTTCTAATGTAAATTGTTTGAATATTTATCTAGTTTTAACATGTTTAAAAGTATGATGCACGAAACGATATTTTACAAAGAAACCAATCATCATTACTTTTCTTTTCAGGAGGAATAAGCAAGAATGACGTGTTTGTTGGTATGGTAAATAGCATAATAAACCCAACATGTTCCGAAAAAGCGATAGAGATGTCTATGAAAATTGTTGAAGAGCGTTTCACAAAGCAATATAGAAGACATTGTTCCACTGTCAAGTCATTTAAAGATGCATATGGAGCACCTCTTCGAAAGTTTATTGAAACTAATAGTGAATATTATGACATGTACTCTACAAAAGGAAAACAAACAATCAGGTTGAAATGGAGAGACAGGAAGAAATCTGAGGACTCAAAGGAAGTAAGAAAAAGTGTGACATGTACAGCAAGTGTTCATTCAGATCCGAAATCGACCTTGCCATTAAAAGAAGCAAGAAATGAGTGCACAGAAGAGAAAGTTGAGGTTCAGAAACTTGGTGAAGCTTCTGGATATGCAACAGAAAATGACGATGATGAAGAAAACTTGAACTCGGAGCCATGGCAGCAACAAAAATCAAAACGCAGTGAAAAAAAATCGGTTCTGAAAGTCCACAGTGTAGAAACTTCTCAATCTATTTCTAAAGAGGAGTCAACATCTTCTGGCACAGAGGAAATATACAATTCAGAGAGGTTTATGGTTCGAGATTTGTTGAGGAAGGATGAAAGTGATGTACTTCTGTTTTACCCAGATGAATCAATATACATGGATGGACAAGCAATCTTTATGCAGGATATAGTATCTCTATGGAATACCCCCTCAAGACACACATCATCTGTTGTGATTGGAGTGTGCTTGAATCAGACAAAACCACATTCTGTGGTAGGAGTTCGGGTTCGATCAAGTGATGATTTTTATCAGGCTTATTTTAACAAAGATCATTTTTCGATGATGCCTAATTTCAAGTACAAAGAAGTAGTTTACCAAGACAAAGTAATTGGTATTATTGATGTTCAAAGCAGCTATGGCCAAGGCGTGCCTTCAGTTGTTACTAAAGACTTCACAGATAGTAACCAGCTGACTCTTACAGCAGGTCAGTTGTGGGTCAGGTCTGGGAGACATAATCGACTCAGTCTGCCACAGGATTTTCTGACAGGCCAGATTTATCAGTGGTTTGGTGGAACTGGTCAGATGTCTGTGGAGGAAAATACAGAAACAACCAGACAAGTAATAGATAAAGGGGATTTTGAGTATCCTGATGAAGAATACTCAGCAACAATCAAGAGAGGAGTGACAACAGCTGATTTTTGTTCTGCAGTAGATTACTTCAAAAAGGGACATTTTGTATTGATTACAGGCAGTTTACCAGAATCAGTAAGACATGTGGATAATTTGGCACTCGTGTCATGGCTAGCTGTGTACGACTTTGAGGAGTCTAGTAGACACTCAGGTTTGCTTTCATGTTTGGAGGATGTTATAAAGAGGAAAAGGTACCTACATGTGTCGACATGGAAAGATTCCCCACAGGGTATTACAGAAAGTGGCACCCAATGGATATGTCTTCGTGGACTTTGTGAAATACCAGACACCCAAACTTCACACAACCCAAATGGATGGTTGCAGCTTGTCAAAGGAAATCTGAACAGCACTTGTCTTAACCTGGCAAGATTTTCAGAAGATTATACAGTGCTTAGATTAATTGTACTATGGCCAGATAATGAAATACAAGCCCAGTGCGTCTACAAATTCCTGTGCAAGTTAAATGACCACTTCCATGTTCAACCAAAGATTATTGTTTGCTTATTACAAGAACTAAATTCAAGCGTTGGAAAGTCAGTTTTACAGCTTCTTGAATCTGACTACAATACCAACTTAGTTCAGCTGAAGATTGATTTGGAAAGTCTTTGTTTATCTGTGGGGAACATGCTGAAAGAGATTTCGAAACAAAGAGAAATGGATTACTCTCTTCCAAAGCAAGAAAGTCATATGCATGCTGATGTAACAGACAAAGATGCAGCTTGGCTACGTGAGGACTTAGTGGTTCTGTACTTGTCCAGTCCGTACACTAAAGGGGAAGCTGATGTTGAAGAACTGACAAAAGAAGTGGATTGTTTCTTCAAGGGGGGGTCACTTCACTGGTGTGCCAGATACGCCTTTGGAACAACACACGTTGATGTTGAAAGAGACATCATGAAATATATCATTGAACATGTAGAGCAGAAACTCATTAAGGAATTTAGAAGTGCTACTGTCACAATATTTCATGCCCCCGGTGCTGGAGGAACAACACTAGCGCAACGAATATTGTGGGAATTGAGAAAGATATGTCCATGTTGTCAACTTAAACAGAGGCCTGGCATATTGATTGAGGAAGTTTTGGCAAAAATACAATATCTGTACGATGTTTCTGGCCTCCCAGTTGTTCTTTTGATTGACGGGGAAGATGAACCTCGTGTGAAGCAAATTATGAAGAAATTGAAATCAGGATGCATCATTGTCATCTATGCAAAACGTTATCCTTATGCAATAAAAGAGCCACTTCAACGTCCAAAAGACAACAAATTTTGGTTAAGAGGAGAAGTAACAGAAGACGAAGCCAAAATCCTTTCTTTCAAATTCCTTGAAAGATGTCAAGAAGATAATAGGAAAAAGGTACTATCCAAAATGTGCAAAGATGTTCAACAGAAAAAGAGGCATCATGTGATGTATGAATTCGGTATGGCAGTGTATCATCACGAGTTCAGAGGAATAGAAACATATGTGAAAGGGTATCTTCGGTTGGAGGAAAACCCCACAAGGCACCTTTTGTCATGGCAGAAGATCCTCGGTTACCTGTCACTTGTATATTTCTATGGTCAGACGTCCATGCCATGTCAAGTGTTTGCTCGACTTTTGGGAAAACAGTCAAACTTTGATGTATGTATAGATGACTTTCCATACCCAATCATGGAGTTTGTTGTTGAAGATGCATCCGATGGTCGGGAAAAGAACATACGGATCAGCAATTACTACCTTGCAAAGGAAATTTTGGAACAAGTTTTGAATCGGTCAAGCACCAAACAAGACACAAGGCTTCAAACCCTAAGCAAGAAGGCTAAACACAATCTAAAGGAGTTTTGCCTTGAGTTTATTTCCATGTTTAGTTCAAGGAGGACCAGGTCATCTTTGACAGCTCACAATATAATCAAAATTCTTACGAGGACATTCATTTACAGAGATAACAAAGATGTTGGAGAAAATGAAGTTCAAATTAAGAAAAGACCTCTTTTTTCACAACTGATATGTGACATTGACATGAATTCACCATTCACAGGAAGACTAGAAGTTCTTAGGAGACTATCATCTTCTTTTCCCGATGATCCAAATTTCCTTGCTCATCTTGGACGTTTCTATGCACACTGCCGACAAGAAGAAGAGGACAAGGCAGAGAGATGTTTTGAAGATGCCCTTGATCTGTGCAAGAAATGGAACGATGGTCCACTTACCTCTGTAACAGAGGAATGGAGGAAGCTGACATTGATGCACATATACCACATGTATGGTACCATATATCAACGTCGTGTTGGAAAGTACACGGGAAGAAGCCAAGGTAGCAAACCAGAAACTGAGACAACTGAAGGAGAATTTAACCTTCGAATTGAAGAACTCGTGAGAGATGCAGATACAGCTTGTAGCTATTTTACACATTGCAGGCAAAATGCACCTTCAGGTTATGAAGAGTGTTATGGATATTCCAGTGAAATCCGCGTTCGCCTGCAAGTATGTGATTTTGTCAACAGAAACTACACTAACGGTGGAGTATCAGGCTTCCTAACCAAACATGGTCGTCATGGCGAACCAGTAGCAGAGTTTATCATGGACAGCATTACTGATATCGAAGATATGATTCTTGAATGTTACAGTCTCATTGACCCTGGAAATCTTGATCAAACATTTCATTCAGCCGTCCTTTGGTACGATCAGCTGTTTGAAAGAAATATGTTTGACATTCACAGACTTGACAATATGTCAGTGACATCAAGGAGACTGCTGATAGCTGCAAACAAACTCAAATACACCAGAAAAGGTCACCACAGTGTGTTTGAGATCAGTAATATTCCAGAAGCAGATATAATTGAGTTCATCAATCTCTATGAAGAGAACTTCAAAGACGCATCAGTGATGGGGGACTTCAGCAAGAGGCAGCTTGAGTCAGACTTTAAAGAATGGCTTGTTGCCATACGACACCCACACTTTCCCAGCACGTATTCAGAACAAGATGTTCTCAGCAAGATCAGATACTGGTATGAAACACTTCACAGCCCAACATCAACATTCTACCTCTTTGTCGTGTTGAGCCTTGTTGGCTTTGGATCAGCAGAGTGCAAAGGAAATAGTGAGAGTCTCGTTCAAGCCCAAATGCTAAAGGACGATATGGACAAATTCATCAAATCTGTTTCAAAACCAAGATATCCCCAGGAATGGCTTGGAAAGAACAACTCTGGCATTAAGCGTCTAATACCCCGAAGCCGTTTATCTGCTCAGATTGAAGGAAGGAACATACAGAGTACTCCACACAGCCTTTTGGTCTGCAAGGGAACGATTGCTCACCCCAACAGCAACCGGTTGTCTGGATACATAGACCTAGACCTCGGACAGAATTCCGTGCCAGTTAAGGTATTTTTCATTCCAATTAGAGCTGGTTTGGTTGGAACTAGATTTGCTGGACAACGTGTTCAATTTTACCTTGCGTTCTCGTTTCATGGTAATGAAGCTTATAATGTTCAGGAACTAACGAAACACCAATGCTTGGTTTGCTTAAAGAAAACAGAGATACAGATGGATAAAGAAACTGTTCAGTGTTCATGTGGAGCTGTGGTGGAAAAGCACGAGTTACTGTAAACATTACTGAATCAATGTATGATTACAGATGATGCCAGACCCTCACATGAAAGGGTCGGACTGTCTTAGCTTTTGAAAGGAGAAAAGATAGAGTTTTGATTTGCATTAACATAAATATTGTATTACCATTACTGTTAATGTTGAAATCTGTATTAACTAAGTCGGGTTACTGTGCATGAGTCGTAGGTTGTTTGAAACTAAGAATGGCGACATCAAATCCCAATCTGTATTAGTCAAATGCTAAGTTATCCAGTTGTGTGTGAGAGTAGTATATGTGGTACTGTGACAGTAAGAGAAAAGAAACAATATTGTCAGTATAAAGCAACATGCGCGGGAGGCCTACATTCGTCATGAATAAAGATCATATAGGTCAGTATATAGAGTGAGTGAGTGAGTTTGGTTTAACGCCGCTTTTAACACTATTCCAGTCATATCGCGGCGTGTCAGCTTAATGTGGGAGGAAAGCCCGAAGTGATGCAGGTTGTCAGTTTATAGAAGCTTAGTTTCGAATTTCAACATCTTGTATCTACTTTTGTCGCTATTGTTGCAAAATAAATCTCCAATGACGTTTTGAAATAATGAAAAGTGGTTTGCCTAAACTTACGATTCTCCAAATCTGTCAGCCATTGAAAATATTTAAAATCTCATGTCTATCTAATATCAAAGTCATCTGTGAGGTTATTACGAGAAATGGTTGTATCATTCATTGCCAGTTACTCTTGCACTTTTACTTGTTTAATCCTGAATCTTGGTAAATGTTGGATCTCAGGAAGTTGTGTTGAATGTGGTCGAAATCAGGAAATGATATATTTGAACTGAAAGTAAATGGTCGAATGTAACAATTTTTTTATTTGGGATAACACTTTCTTAGTAAAGTACAGATTCTCGTACATTTTTGGGTTGAGTCCCGGCCGGGATTCGAACCGACGAGTGAGGCACCTAATCGCCAGCACATAAAGTCAGCGATCTAACCCAATCAGCCATCGAGGCTTCCACAAAAATGAAAGTCCGACAACTGGTAGTCTAGATCACGCACTTTGAGTATCCCTCTGCCAAATGTAAATTGGCACGGCTCCCATGGCCGTAAGCTATGAAAGCTATGGCATTGTGTATTCATAAATGGTCGTAGTTTAAGACTTAGATGCTTTGATGGAATGGGGAAATGGGTTTGCTTCTATTTTTGCAAGTGCCGGTAGGTACCTAGTTATTCATCTGTTTATTATAAAACCTTATATACAAAGCAAACTATGTTGATATGGTCAAACACTATTTGATTGCACATCCAATGAATATTAGCTGCAACGTTTAAGAGTATGTATCCTGCAGTGAAGACTAAAGAAGCGACCCACAAATAACTAATTCCCGCTAAGGAAGTATCTGCCTTATTTTCATTAATGATTGATAGACTTGCTTTTTTACATATACAGATGTCCTTGTGTGTATATGTATGTGCAAACAGCGAAACCGCATTATCAGTGGTTCATATTGGGAAAGGGAGGTCACTCGAATTTCAAACGGGAGCTATCTCCGTTGTTTTCGTATTTGCGAGAAATGGCGTCACCCACGCTGTACGTTGTTTTTGGTCCAGCTATTAAATGCCCAGCTTATCCCTAAGGTAAAACGTATTCTTAATTATATGTTTGAATGCATTATATTTTTATCTTTCCATCCGTACATCTTCTTAGATTGGTTATCAGCACTAAACCATTTTCTAAAATGTGGGCCCACATTGTTCCCGTCATATATGGTGAGCGAAACAAGTGGGCCCACATTTGTATATCGCCTAGCATCGTAAGGTTGTTTAATTAGTTCTGATAATCAATTCCTAAATGCGGGCAGACGTTCTTCCGTCATATTGATTGCAACAGGAGGGAGCACATTTATTAATCACGAAATTCCACTTAATTATTGATAACCATTTTCTAAAATGTGGGCCCACATTGTTCCCGTCATATATGGTGATCGAAACAAGCTGGCCCACATTTGTATATCGCCTACCTGGCAGACATTCTTCCGTCATAGTGATTGTAACAGGAGGGACCACATTTATAAATCTCTAAGCTTCATTAGCTTGGCTTACTTATAACCATCTCTAAAATGTGGGCCCGCTTCTTCCGTCATATAGTGATCGAAACAGGTGGGCCCACATTTGTAAATCGCTGGGCTTCATTGAGTAATTTATTGGGCTCACATTTGTAATTGTTTTGCATGGGTATGTAGCATTATATATTATTCTCATTTTGTAATATTGATGGGAAATGTCTTTGTAAATTATTTAGTGTGACGTTAATTCCACGAAAGGCACGCGAAGTCTTTGAAGTTTGAATAACGTCATCATAGCTGATCAAACTCGTTCCATAATAGTTTTGCAAAAATAGTTGCAAAGCAAGAAACTTAGATCTACTTCAAATTAAATTTACATAGGCAATACCACTCATTCTACTTTTTCCAGTATAACACATCAATCTAAACATAAGTGTTGGTGGCGATATAAGCCTGGAAATATGTCTACACTTGAATTGAACTCGGGACTTGATAAAAGCCTATCACCTCAAACTTTTCCGAAAACTTGTTCCATGAAAGGAATAACTCATGAATATTAATTACCCCACAACCTAGTTTTGCGATGTTCATGGAAGTGAGTTCTGCTGTAGCGTCTTCGCATTTGTACATTCTAATCCAATTATAAGTCCTAATTTGTATTTAAACTAGACAAAATAGCAGTTCGTAATGCGGGTTTGTTTACGTAGTACATATTCTCAACAACAAGTGCGTTTAGTTTCGAATGTGCGCCCACCTCAAACTTTCGATTAAGCAAACGGAGTTAGCTCCCTTCTCGAACCACCGATAATGCGGTTTCGCGGTGCAAACTGATCTTGACTCGTGCGATCCTGTAGCAATTTTTCAGTAATAAACACGTCGGCCCAAACCAAGGATGTGAATAGAGCCCATTCCTTGTACAATGTTCGTCTCATGGAGGCAACACTGCAAAACGGCTGAATGTGCAATGTTCGCACAAATGTAAGCATGTACATAGAATCTAGTTACTATAATTACTTCTTTTTCTGTCTAAAATTGGTAGATGCTTGGCATGGACTTGCTTTTTAACATTCCAATTTGGTTATAATGAATGTATTTCGCAGTGTAAATATCATGTATCTTTAGTTTCATTGTATCATAATGGGCAAAGGCACAAATATATGACCCTACAGTAGGAAGGTGGATGAGAGCACGATACATAGAACATTTTCCTTCGAGGTATTGGGTGGTGTACACAGCAGCAATGTGAATAACACAACATTCTACTGAAAGCTGATAGAATAGTTACAGGTCTTCCAAAATATATCCCCTTTAAGAATTTCTATTATGAAATTGGGTGGCAGTCATTGGCAGAGAGAAGAGATAACCGTTAATTGCAGGGTTAGAAATTGGCACTAGTCCTATAGTCCTTGCCAAACTGCCCAATAGTTAGGGTATCATAAGGACTAGTAGAAATTTGCCATTTTTAAGGGTTTTGCTATATGTTATCATTATAAGGACTAGTGGTTTAAAACTGTTAGTTTCTAACGCTGTAATTGCGTCTTTCTTATCCTAATCTGTTGTCATAATCTTACACCTTCATATCTTAAGGACATGCTTACTGATGCAGTTGGTACCATTGTATGAAACCAGAAGAATATCGACCGCCTCCGTGGCCTAGTGGTAGAGCGTCCGCCCGGAGAGCGGAAGGTTCGGGGTTCCATCCCCGGCCGCGTGAAGATGGTACTTGTTGTTACCCTGTCTGGCGCTCGGCATTAAGGGGTTAAAACAAGGACTGGTCAGCTCGGAGTCAGTATACTGTGTCTGAGTGGGGTATTCATGTTAAACTGTGGCATGGTATCTCCGTGAGCTAGCACTATAAATCGGCATCAGTCCGGACTAGTACAAGCAGCCACACAAACACAAACACACACACACACACACACACACACACGTACATGCAAGTCGCTATATAAGTGCAATAATCTTGGACGCGACGTTAAACCCATTTCACCTCACCTCACCTCACCAGAAGAATATCAATAATCACACTATATTGAGGTATGTGTTAGGTTTTGAATTATGACCTATTCAGATATGGTTTTAGCAATGATCCCAAATGTAAATGTGTGAGTTGTGGAAACATGTGTTTCATTATTTAATGACATGCACATTACTTTTTGTATATAGAATTAACCTCATGCAAGCACTTAAACAAACTGCTGATGAAAAAGTGAACGTTGATTTATATCGGTTGTTTGATGGCAATGCACTGTTAATAATAAAGAAAAGGAACTTGTATTCAATATTGTTCCGTGATAAGTGAGTGAGTGAGTTTACCACTGTGAAACCCACGTTCACGGGTATGGTGCTGATATACCTTTAAACATGTTAATGAATATGTATCAAGAACTAAAAGATTTGATTACGCCAATGTTGTAAATAATTCTTCTATTCTTATCTATGTTTATTTACTTGCTTATTTATTGTTGTGACTATTTTGTTCGTAAATGTGTTTTGGAAAGGGTTTTCCTTGGGTGTGATAATGTGTTTCCGATCAATTTCACGCGTTTGTAAATAAAACATGTTTAAACTTGAGTAGACGTCTGAGTGTTATTATCCAAAGACAGGGAAATTGGGAGCCAACTGCTGGTCCAACGAAAAATGACTGCAAATCGCAAAAAAACCACTATGACTGCAAATCGTGATGATAGTTACAAACACATTAGGGGCGGTCGTATAGCCTAGTTGTTAAAGCGTTAGCTCGTCACGCCGAAGACCCGGGTTCGATTCCCGACATGGGTACAATGTGTGAAGCCTATTTCTGGTGTCCCCCGCCGTGATATTGCTTGAATATTGCTAAAAGCGGCGGAAAGCCATACTCACTCACTCACTCACTCACTCCAAACAGATTAAGTACCTTCGTCAATTTGGGGCATGGAAGCCGTGTAGCTTATCATCTCGTGTTAAAGGGACACTTTCCCTTTTGTACATACTTGTTCTTCTAGGGCTGTATCGGACGATAGGTTGGCTTCGCCTCGAGGTTTCAGGCGCATGCGGCGAAATGGCCGTGGCTTTGAAGTGTACAATACTTTATTGACGCTTCCGTTTGTCGTTTTTATATAATTTCATACATTCGCGTGTGCGCCGCAGATGCTGAACTATTCACTTAAGACGTCAGTCACTTCAAGGTTGGAAACTACCCTCTGTCTCGGAAAGAGCTAACCTCAAAGTCCCCATGTCTGTCATTGTCCCCCGCCGCGCGAAAGCGCGAAGCGGGGGATATAGTATTCACGACCGTCCGTCCGTACGTCCGTCCGTACGTCCCACCTGTTTGTTGCCGCGATATCTCAAGAACTAAACACTTGATTGTCTTCATATTTGGAACTATGGTGTATATACAGACTCCGCAGACACCAGTCGGTTTTGGTGACCTTGACCCTATTTTCAAGGTCATAGCAGGCAAATCTGCTTTTGGAGTTGGAAAACGGTGTTGCAGCGATATCTCAAGAACTAAACACTGGATTGTTTTCATATTTGGAACTATGGTGTATATACAGACTCCGTAGACACCAGTCGGTTTGGGTGACCTTGACCCCATTTTCAAGGTCACAGCAGGCAAATCTGTTTTTGGAGTTGGAAAACGGTGTTGCCGCAATATCTCAAGAACTAATCGCTGGATTGTCTTCATATTTGGTACTATGGTGTATATACAGGCGGGGGACATTTCGTCACTTTGTGACAAATACTTGTTTTACAATGAGATGATTTTAATTCAAACATCTCAACATAAATTACATGACTTGTGTATTTGACGTGGTGATCCAGTGGTGTGCGATTAAGTAAATTGATAAGTATAGCATGTGTGCAGGGCA